AATATAGAAATCCCGATTAATTCATTCGGTTTAACTGTTTAATTTTTAAACCAGTATCTTTTGACCGGTTTTAATAAATAATTAATTTATTACTGGTTTGATATAGTTTAATTATAATTTTGATCATTAATTCTTAACTAGTCCGGTTTTAATACCAACATGTATTTTCATTTTTTTTTCTTTTTCTTGCCACTGTAATAAAATTTACTGGAAGACCCGATGAACTCCGTGTCTGCATTCAGTTGCACCAAGTGCTCATCACAATTAGGAGCAATTCTGTCCCTCCATTTCAACCTAAAAATGATCTCTGTTGTCCTTCTAAATTAATTTTTCAATATTTTTAATATTATATTTATTAAAATAAAAAAATTTAATATTAAATTTGGACTATTTAAAGTACATTTAAATGATTAATTTATAAAATTGATAAATTTTTGTAATATTAAATTAGTTCATCTAAACTATATATGAATTATCCAGAGTTTATCTGGACAATCAAATTGTAAAATTATAAAAAATTTTAATATTAAATTGGACTGCTAGATTAAATCTATACTAGTCAGATTAATAATTAACAGATTTATTAAATTTTAAAAATTTTTATCTTTTTTATATTAATAAATATAATAGTAAAAATATTTAAAAATTAATTTAAATGAATGGCAAGTATCAATTTAAACTGAAATGAAAGACCAACATTGCTGCAAAATCTGATGAACGTGCGGTGCACCGAATGCAAATCCGTAAACTCCCGCGACCTTGACTTTTCGAAGTACCCTGTCACTGTAAACCATCCATTTAATCTCGTGATGCTAATGAAAAGATGGAAAATTTATTTTTTAGCGTAATTTACTAATAATAATTTTAACCCATCAATATATCAACAAAATAAACAATTTTTTCCATTTCCAAACCTCACTTTTTAATTTAAAATACCAATAGATTGTTTGGAAAAATTGTTGGAAACCCTAATAAATCATAACTTGAATTCTTTGCCACATGTTGGGTGGAAATTACTATAAGGTGCTTATGTGTTCAAAAAATTACAACTGGGTTTTTATGAAATTATATTTGATAATAATAGTTATAAAAGATTAAACAATTTTATAAAAATCATACTTTTTAGGTTATATATCAAAACGTGATTTTGATGAATACAATTCAAATAGAATTATTTTTTTATAATTTTACTTTTTAAAAATGATATCCAAACAAAAATTAAAAATAGTCATACATTTCTTTTTCTTGCCACTGTAATTAAATTTATTGGAAGACCCGGCAAACCCCGTAACCTTGACTTGCTGTAGTCTTGTCTGGAAGTACTCGGAAAGACCAAACAAGAAGCAACGCACGTGGCAGGCTACTAAGTACTAACCCATTTCGAAAATTAGGTAATATAGAAAAGTAAAACAAATGAATTATTTTTAAATTTTAGATCTACTGATCTAGCAGCATTATAGGTTATAAATTTAATTATTGTGCAAATTATCTTTTTATTTTTAAAAGCAGTATAATTTGATCGTTGTCATGAATAAAAATTAATTTTAATTATAATTGATCAAAAAAAAGACATCAAAATTATAGAAAAGTTATATAATTTTTTGGATACTTATATATAATTTTTGGGTCTTTTGTTATAATTTTTTGTATTTTTATGTTTTTTTATTATTTTTTAGTTCATTAATAGTCAAAATTAATTGTTATTAATTATATGAGTCAGATTGTATTATTTTTAAAAGTTAAAAAAAATTTACACAATAAATAAGTTCAGAATTCATAATTTATAATATTACTTGACTTAAATTTAAAAAATAATTTACTCATTTATTCTACGAAGAAAACATGACTGCAGGTAATATATAGTATGTGTCTATGACCTGCTCATATTTACATGCATCTCCTTATCATTCATCTTTCTATAAATATGCTGTACACCATCCATCTAATCTCGTGATCCTAATGAAAAAATGGAAAAATTATTTTTTAGCGTAATTTATTTATAATAATTTTAACCCCGTCAATAAATCAACAAAATAAACAATTTTTTCCATTTCCAAACCTAACTTTTTAATTTAAAATACCAATAGAATTTTGGAAATTTTTTTAAAAAACCCTGATCAATTATGATTTGGATTCTTTACAGCACGTTGAGTTGAAGTTATTTAGAGGCGCTTTTGTGTTCAACAAAATCACGATTGGATTTTTATTAAATTATATGTGATAATAATAATTATAGAAAATTAAACAACTTTATAAAAATCATAGCTTTTAGGTAATTATATATCAAAATGTGATTTTAATGAATATAATCCAAACAGAACTAAATTTCTCATAATCACCTAAAAAAAAGAATCCAAACAAAATTATAATTTATCAACATTACTTTTAACTAATATCACTTTTAAAAACATGACTATCTCTCATTTATTTAACTTCAATCCAAACGGACAATTGGGTTATACCAAATTTTTATTTTTTTATTTAATATTAAAATGAAGAAATATTATTTTTTATTTTCTTAATTTAGTGGAATCATATCGTAAATAAATTATTATGAGAAAATTAATTTGATTTCATTTAAGCATCTTTTTTCGGTTGAATGAAAGGGTTGAGTAAGTTAATGCTGTTAAAAGGATGAGTTTCTTGCAATGTTTTTAAGTTAAAAATTAAAAAAATAAATTTAATGAAAATTAGAGTACTATAACAGTTATATATATATATATATATATATATATTCTATAACTAGAAATTTTGTATTTTAAATAATGGTATTGTCATTTTAGGGAGGCTGGAGCAGTTAAAATAGGATAAGGTATGGATGATCAAGAAAGTGAAAATTTCAAAAAGGTTTTTGACTTTTTGGTTCTTCGATTATGATGTGTGGAAATGATCACTGGCATTAAAAAATTATGGTTCAAGCTCTTTATTGCAATGAACTTTGATATTTTTAGTTGGTTTCTTTTATACCCGGTGAAAAAATATAAAATATTTTAATTAAATTACACTTTTAATAAATTAGTAAATTATTTTTAAATTGATATTATATTTTTTATATTTTTTAATTAATAGAATGTCTCACTTAAAAATAAATCGTTGAATTATTTTTTTTGTTAGAGTATTTTTAAAAAATGATTAATTATATATTAAATTTTAAAAATATCTTATATTTTTTCAGCATTTAATCTAAAAAAATGCTTCATAACAGAGTAGTTATCTTACATTTTTTAGTACTCAGCTTTAAGTTTTTTAATACTCATGTTTTTATTGTTTTTAATACTCGACTTTGATATTCTTAACATTCATCTTTAATATTCTTAGTAATAAAAATATTAAACACGAGTATTGAAATTATAAAAAAATAAGTTCTGACCAAAAAAAAATAGAACCAGGTAGTAAAAAAGGTAAAAAGATGACTGCATAAAAATCAAAGATAAATATTAAAATTATAAAAAAAAATTGGGCCGAAAAAATTTTCAAAATTGAAACCGAACCAAAAGCATCAACTCAAAAAAAAAAAAAATCCATTTCAACTATAACCTTGATCTATTTAAAATTTCTAGAATCCACCATCGTCAATCACAATTAGGGTATGTTTCGATAATATCAAAATTGAGGCTTTGGGGTGCCGACCTCAGTTTGGGTCTTAAAAAGCTCATTCGAAAATTTGGAATAATATTTTGGATAAAAAAAAATAAAAAAAACTTTTGGTCCAAAAAACGTATTCCAATTGAAACTTGAGAAGAAAAAAAAAAGAGTTTTCAGCTTTTAGCTTCACTTATAATCACATGAGGCTCAATTAGTTGGGCAATACAATCAGTTCGTTAAAAAAGTTCACAATGTAATATTTTATAATGTATTAATTTATTTTAGCTTTTTAGAATTTTGTAATTTATTAATTTATTTCAGGTTTTTATAATTTAAAAATAATACTTAATTATATATAGACTCTTTAAAATTAAAATTTTAATATTCTTTAAAAAATTTAAATTAGAAAAAAATATTTCATAAAATTCATGTCATTTCCAATCATCATGCATCTAATTAAACTTGCTTTTGAATTTTATCATCCAAACAAGTTTCTGTCTCTCAAATTGACTTTAAAGAAAAAAAGTATCCAACTAATAACAATTAGTCCAGTTAATAAGGATTTTACTCATAACCTATAATATTGTGTGATTGAATCATGTTGTTGATGTAAAGACTTTATTAATAAGTAATTTATAAGTATTTACGTAAATGTTTTTTTGAGTCTGAAAGAATATTTTGACCTTTCTAAACCCTTAGATCCAATTGACATAAATGTTTTTTAATACTTCAAATAAAAAAAGAAGTATGAAACATAAATTAATTTTTAACCTAACTCGCATTTGGTTTACCTGCATTTTATATTCACAAAAGACTTTTGAAACTTCAAGAATGTAAAAGTTGTTTGATTTTTTTAAGTCGTTTTCAAAGTCAATTCAAAAAACTCCAAAAATCTATTCCTTAAACTTAACTTAGGATAATTTTCTAAGAATACTTTACATAATTTTATCATCAATTAATTCTCACTCTTCTATTTTTACTCAATAATTATCATAATTCAAATAATTTTTAATTTATTAAACTGACTTTTTAAAAAAATTACTCAACATAAATTTTATTATAATAATTAACTTCTATCAAATTATAATTTTTACCAAATAAATTTTTAATTAATAAAATTTTAACAAATTAAAAACTAAACACACACTCAGTGTGCAAATTTCAGCTTATTCTAACTTTAAATTTTGCAATTTCTAAACCAAACATGCCCTTCAAGTTTTCATGACGTGGTCAACGGTGTCATTTCTCCGATAATATCATTTCTCACGCAAGAATCCACCGAGTCTACGCATTGGAATCTCCACTCAAGTTTTTATTAATTAATTAATATATCATAGCTTCACTCATTCATTTCATATCACAGCTAATTCCACCAAGCTTCAGTCTTCTTCTCTATCGCCATTTCTTTCAACAGCATGTCTTCACCCGCAGAGTACTCTCTCTCTCTCTCTCTCTCTCTCTCTCTGTGATCGACCATTTGTTGTATGAATTTTCTGTCAAGATTTTTTCTTCTTGAATGATTTATTATTTATATCATGCTCAAGTGTTGTGTTGTGTGTGTGTGTGTGTGTGTTATGTTTTTGTTCTCAAGTTTTCCCGGAGAAAATATGTTTTTGTTGATCTCTGATTCTCTGAATAATTTATAATTATTCATATGAATTTGCGATGTACCTAGTCGTCATCTCAGTTTTGGCCAAGTTGCAGAAGCAGAACTCATCTATGAGACCAAGCAAGTCTCTTTGTTTCAGTATTTATATAGTAATTGTAATTATAATTATAATTCTTGCTTTATAATTCGAGTTTTATTTTTATTTTTTTGAGCAAAATAAAAGTTATGGCTTTGTTTATAACTGATATTTCTAGTTAAACAAATTTCTCTGCATATGCAAGTTTTCCAGGAAAACAGTTTTGTCGAAAAATTTTGTTTAACCTTTCATTTCTGGGAGATGAGCACCCAACACTAATGAGATTTGGACTGTTCAAATTCAATGTAGATAGTATAATTTTAAAACTTTAAACTTATAATTTTTTTTAAAAAAATCCTTTTTGGTAAGCATGCTAATTAAGATATTATCTTTTATTTTTAATATTATATTTATTAAAATAAAAATTTATAAAAAATTTTTAATATTAAATTTGAACCATTTAAAATAGATTTTTATTTAAAAAATTTATAATTTTATCAATTTTTGTTTTGGTGATTACAGAATAAAAGTCAAAATAATTTCTCACCCGCACGACACTTCCCAAAATGCGATTTTTCTTGGAAAAAAAAAAAAAACAAGTTTTCCTCGTTTTCTTTTGCATTCTTTTTGTCGTTTTATTTCCTCTTCATCTTCCATAAATACCCCAAAAATTTCGATCTATTTTCAGCCACCCAAGCGCCGAGGGAATTCATAATATCTTCCCACTAGATGAAATGATATATGTTATTTAGTATTTTGATGTTATAAGTTTATTTAGTAAATTATACATCTTTCTCCTTAGTTTTGTTAAATTTGTTAAATTACACTCATTTTTTCACTTTTATGATCAATAAAAAGTTCTCATTAAAAAAATTTAGGAAAAAAAATTTAGATATCATTATAAATTTCTCTCAATTTTGAATTAAATCCTTATATATTTTTTTCTTTTAATTGAAGCCTTGTAGTTTGACCCATTAAAATTTTCAATTCTTGAAGATCAACTCATTTAATTTTTTCTTTTAAAAAATAAAATTAAGAACTTTTATATTTTTATCAAAATATTATATAACTTTAGAATTAAAGATATAATTTTTATAATTCAAAATTTATATAATTGGGTTGTCTTGCAAATATTTTTATATATATAGAATTTTTCTAAAAAATTAATAGTGTAAACAGTGTATTAAATCAATTTTTTTGTAAACTTCAAAAGTATTTTTGTTTTAGAAAATTTAATAATTCATATTAACTTTTAACTTTAAGGGATTAACATATATATGAATCCAACTATAAGGGATGTTTAAAATAAAATAAATTATTAAAACTTAATTTAAAATTGAGAAAAAATATAAAGACATATAGATATTATATTTTTTTCAAAATTTTTATATATACTTTTGTCTATAATTATTTTCCCAAAAAAATTGCCCCTCGTTAATCCCAATACATATTTTAATTGCTAGCCAAAAGAACCTTGATCCATCTTTTTAAATAACAAAATGAGGACATTTTAGTAAAAATAAAAAATAAAAGTAAACTGAAGTTATATCTTGAAGTCAATTTAAAATACAAAAAATTATATTCAATTTTTAAACAAGCAAAAAAAATAAAACAAAATATTCTCTGGATATCAGAAAATTAATTATTATTATTATTATTATTATGCCAATATTATTTTTGCAGATATTACAGGTCTTTACCACCAGTGAGCAAGGCCTATGGAGTGGCATGTTTTAATGACCACATCTGCATATTATCTTCAACTTTACGATGTTTGGAACATTTCACTTCATTATGGTCTTGTGTTTAGACATCTTCAGGTTTGTCATTGACCATGAGATCCAAATCTTTTTTTAAAAAAAAAAACAGAATATGTATTTCATCCAAATCTTGTTAGAACATATTGAGTTTGACACATTTCTGGGTCCAATTTATAAGGCAAGTAATTTTTTAAAGGGACAATCACAAAATTTACTTAAATTCACAAATGATAAATAAATAGACAAAATATAATATTCCCTCTATTAAAAAATATAAGGCATTTTTTTGAGGAGTTGAATATTAAAAAATATAAAGCATTGTTAATCTTTCAAGGCGTAATCATTGCCTTTTTTAAAAATGTCCTTATTAATAGTGACTTTATATTTATTATAGAGTGTTTAATAGAGGTAAATTTAAAAGATAAGGTTATTTTAAAAGTAAATAACTACTTTATTAGAGGTAAGATTCAGTTAAAAGTGCCTCACATTTTTTAATTGAGAGGGTATTATTATGTAATTTTTAGGGACTTTTATGGAATTTTGATTTTTTCCCTGAAATGACATATTTTAAATTTGGGGAAAATATGTCATTTTGAAAAATTAAAGAATTTTTTCGTCATTTTGAAAAAAATATTAAAGATTTTTTTAAAAAAAGAAATATTTATTTGATCCAAATCTGGTTAGAACATATTGAGTTTGACACATTAATTGTTCCAATTTATGAGGCAAGTAATTTTCTAAAGGGAGAATCGCAACAACAAAAAAAATATTTCTAAAATTCACAAACGACAAATAAATATGAAGAAATGTGATAATTAGTTATGTAATTTTTAGGGACTTGTATGGCATTTTTTGTTTTTCTTTTTGTGAAGTGACTAGTTTAAATTTGGGGCAAATATTTTATTTTGAAAAAAAAATTAAAGAATCTTTGGTCACTTTTCCTTTTTTTTTTAAAAAAAATATTTATTTATTTATTTATCTAATCGTAATTACTCATGAATTGATCTAGTGCAGGTGTGGAGGCTTGTCACAAATTTCTTCTTTCTTGGGCCGTTTTCGTTCCCTTTCGCTTTTCGTCTTATAATAATGTAAGTAAACCTGATTCCAGAATTTGGTCCAAAAAAAAAAAACCTGATTCCAGAATAATTTATTCTTCTCTTTTCTTGTAAAAAAGAATAATAACAGTTACTGGTTCCCAAATCAAATTTGAAAATTTTTACTGTAATATAACGGTTTCACTGTAGTAAAACAGAGGAAAGACCCATCACCATATATTTTTAGCCTATGACAACGGGTAAAAAAATATAGGAGAATGATATAAAATTTTAAAAAAAAAATACAGTTAGATCATTAACAAAAAAATTTATAAAATAAATTATAAATATCAATTTAAATATTTATAAATAAAAAAATATGAATTGCAATTTAACTATTATATTTAAAATTTAAATATTGTATTTGTAATTGAACTTTTTAAATTTATAATTATTTAAATCAATATTTATAATTAATTTTTTGCAAATTCTTTTTTAGTGTCTAACCGTCATTAATTTTATTTTTTAAAACTTAAATGTTATTTTCTCAAAAAAAAAAATGTTGTTATAAAGTGAAAAACTGTTACCTGTCACCATAAGTAACGATCTTTTATTGTAAAATATGTTGCTGTTACCTATTGTCTAGGGCAATGATTTTGTTAACTTTGTGGTCACGGATGGCAAAACCCTTACCTATAATTTGCAATTAACCAACGGTTTTAAGTTGCTAAATTTAATAATAATAATAATAATAATAATAAATAATAATTGGAGTCTTTACACTTTATTCGCGTTTTGTTATAGATTCTTGCACTTTTTTTTATTATAAGTTCCTACACTTTTATTTTTGATATTCAAGGTCCCTCCATAAATAAAGTGTAGAGACTTTGAAGGGACATAGAATACAAAAAAATAAAAGTGTAGAGACCTAGGATATCAAAAAAATGCAGAAACCTATAATAAAATGCGAACAAAGTAAATGAATCCAAAATTATTTTTCCTTAATAATAATAATGCATTCATCACCTCTTGTAAGCCTATTTAAAATAATAATAATAGTAATAATAATAATATGCCGTTTTGATTTGAATGAATAATAATACATGAACTTCATTAAATTCAAATGTTTATAAAGAAACCTGAAAAATTAAAAGATAGAGCATTTGTTTGAAACCGAATTGCAGAGCCAAATATGGAGTTTCACTGGAAAGAGGGCCATTTGACAAGAGAACAGCTGATTACTTGTGGATGTTCATCTTTGGTGCACTCTCACTTCTAGTGAGTCATCACAAGTCATAAACAACATGACTTTTGTAAGAAATTTTTGTGTAGGCTCAGATTAATTATTTTATTAATTAGCTTTATAAAATATTAAAGCTCAATTATATTATGTGATTTTTATAGTGCCGAGCCATGTTATAGTCACTTTAGGAATAATTACAAGTAGGACATGTGAAGTTTACAACTTTGCACTTCCTACATAGAATATTTTTCACCCTGTACTGTATAGAAAAAAAATATTTGAACTCAAAAACTTGTTAGATATGCAATATTTTAATAATCAAGATAAGATATGATGAACATATTTACATAAAAAAAACTATATCAATCTATTCATTATAATTTTCCAAAAAAATGATGATCAATTCACTTGTTATTACAATTTTAGCCCCATTATAATTATTATTTTTAGTTATTAAAATATTATTTTTAAAAAAGAGTTATTATGCATTTTGAACCTTGTACTATAGGTCCAAGGAAAATTTGAATCATAAACTTTTAAAAGATACATTCTTAACCCTGAACAATTAAGGTTAGAGCAATTTCACCTCCACTGTTAAATTTGAACAAATGTTCGTCAATTTTTTAAAAGGATTAATTGACATATTTGTCCTGAAACTCTTTTTTCAGGGATGCTTGATACCTTAAACTTTTTTTCGAGCATTTTAGTCTTGAATTTTTTAAAAAGAGAGCATTTTGGCCCCACTGTTAAATATAAAAAATGTTGACTATTAAGCTAAAGTTTGACTAAGGTTAAATGACATATTTGCCTTGAAACTTTTTCTTCAAGAGCACTATGTATCCTAAACTTTTGTTTGGAGCTTATTTACCCTAAAACTTTTAAAAATGGAGCAATTTTTCCCTCCCTTCTTCTTCATCCTCTCCTCCTTCCTCCCTCTCTTCCACCAACAAGTTCCTACACTATCATGGATCGGAGTCCAAATGCAAAGTTGGAAAAAATGAGTGTCCAAGATTTGCGAGCCTCACAAGAAGTCTCTTATCTATCTCGGCACTTTTGCCCTTTAGAAATGGCTGCTTAAGCCCACAATGTGTCGCTTTGTCAGTTTGTCCATCAAAGGTAAATCCGCCATGGTCCTCCCCCGATTTGCCACATGTTCCCCACATAACATCTAAGCTATTGCTTTTGTCATTATCGCCATGGTTAAGTTTAATGCTGTAAAGCCCTTAAAAGCGTCGAAATCCTCAAAGTCATCATAGTTGAGTGATGAGATAGTGGAATTTTTGAATATAGAAGAAGAGAGCTTCCACATGGCTTAGTTTATATAGATTGACTTAATGGATAGTTAATTATTTCTAGGTATAGGTATGGGTTTATATGATTTGGAATTGCTTGTTGTTGTTCTTGCTTGCAGTTCATGAAGTTGTTCTTGCTATCAAGGTAGATTTTTTTAATTTTTTTTTAAAATGTCAAGTGGCTATACATGGCAATTAAAGTCAAAGTAACGGTTAATACTACAGCAAGGTAAAATTATTTTCTTTTTTAAACTTTGAAAGAAAATAAACTCCAAACAAAGTTTAGAATACCCAGCACCTCTGAAAAAAAAAGTTTTAGAGCAAATATGTCATTTAACCCTAGTTAACCTTCCACTTAATGGTTAACGTTTCTGATATTTAATGAAAGGGCAAAAATGCTCTTTTTTGAGAAGTTCAAGGCAAAATTGCTTTGAAAAAAGTTTAGAGTGCCAGGTACCTTTGGAGAAAAAGTTTTAGAATAAATATGTCATTTAACCCTTTTTTAAATTGGAACCTAATGTGCGATTTTTCTCAAATGAGCATAGAAAAGAGAAGGACAATGGAATTTGGTGACAATTGCACATTGGACCTCAATTTTAAAAAATCCACAGGCATTTGTTTAAACTTAACGGTGGAGGCAAAATTGCCCCAACTTAATTAGTTAGGATTTAAAATGTATATTTTAAAAATTTAGGATTCAAATTGCCTCTAGACCTATAATTCAGGATTCAAATTACATATTAACCCTTTAAAAAATATTAATTTTTAAATTAAATTATCTTGCATCCTTATTTTAGGATCTTTTGGCTCCATCACTATATATATTTGATGAGCTAACTAAACAGGCGATCTATTGAGTCTAGATAGTAACTAAAATATAAACTTATTAAATAATGCGAATGATATAAATTCTTAGGTGATAGGTGTACTGCCATTTTGTTGGAGTCCATTCATGGGAATTCCATTAGTTTTCATGATCACCTACGTTTGGAGCCGTGAATTCCCAGATGCGAGAATCAATATATACGGTGTCGTTTCACTGAAGGTATATATGCTTTATGATATCTTCATTCATTAATTTTGTTTTGTTCATATTAATTGAAAGTGCTATAGTATTATCTGTTACCATCATGTCAATAGATTATGTGAATTTGGATTTCTATCTCATTTGTGTATGTCTTAGGGTAAAATTGCAAAACAACACACAATTACAATTAATCCGAAGTCCTAATATTTATCTCCTCTTATTGGGGAAAAAAAAAAAATTAAGGGTCTGTTTGATTTTTATTTTTAATTTTTTTAAATTTTAAAACTGCTTCTTTTTTAAAAAAATAAATTTTAAAATAAAAATGTGTTTGGATAAATATTTTTAAAGTTATTCCTTTTTTAAAATAAAATTAAAACATCTTAGAATTATTTTTTCCTCTTTTTTTTTTTTACATTTAAAACACATTATATTTGACTAGTGTAAATTTTAACTATTTACCTACCATATATTATTATAAGTCACTAATACTAATCATTAGCAGCTATCACTATTAGCTAATATTTCTTAATTCTAAAATTATTTTTAAATTACTGAAATTAAATATATTTTCTTGTTGTTTTACTTTTGAAAAATAATTTTTAAAAATTATCTACAAAATAGTTTTTAAAAACAAAAAAGAGAACAAAACCTAACAAGCCCTACACTGCAAAGCTTTTGCATAAATAGCCTCTATTAAAGTTTAACAAACCCTAGGCTCACACCCCTTTTGATAATAATAATGAATTTTATGTTGAAAAGTACTAGTTGAAAAACTTTAAGGGAAATTAATGTATAATTTAATTTAAAAATTAATTAGATTGAATTAGTTTTCCTTTATATTGTTTTAATTGATGACAAAAGATGGAATAGAGTCAAAATTTCTGTGTTTTGTTCTCTTTGCCTTATTATACCTTTTTCCTCAGACAAAAAGTAACCCCTTTTTAATCTGGCTATAAAGATTAAAATGCTCTATGAATTTATGTTCTCATAGAAAATTTAGTTTAGCCACAAAACTTGAATAATTGTTGGCCAAAAAAAATTGAAACTTGAATAACTCTGTGAAAGAGTTTATATGCCGACTGCTTTTTAAATTATTAGCCCTACAATTACAATCGTTCATGATAATAAAGTTCTGTTCATCTATTTATTTATGCCTCAGACATTGAAAACATATAATTCACATCACATGCATTTTAAATGTCAACCAAATAATATATATACTCCCTTTGTTTCTGAATATAAGAAAAAAAATAACCAACTCATATATTTTAAGAAAATTAGTTAAATGTAATACTTATGTATAAAAATAAAAACAACTAAACCAAAATACCTTTCATTAATCAAGCAAGTCTGCATTAACGTTTTTGTCTTATGAATGAAAACTCGTATTTTATGAGGGATAGTTGAGGAAAATTGTGATAAATACTTATTAAAATATGTAATTTTTCTTATAAAAAGACAAACTACTATGTGACAATTTCTCTTATATTTAGAAATGGAGGGAATACACTAAAGAGTGTTGATCTATAATCTTATGAGCTATAGAACTTTAATATGCTCTTTTCTAATATTCCTTATAATGTCCCAACTTATCAATTTAGTTTTTTTTTCTTTAAATTATTGGATTTTATCTAAAATAAAAGACATTTGGATATCTTGAAATTTTAAAATGGTGACGATTTTTTTCTATGACTTTTTAAAGAAAAATATCAAAATTATACCTTTTTATTTTTAAAAAATTATAAAAAATATAAATCTTTATCGTTTTGAGACTTTAAGATATCAAAATGCCTCTTATTTTATAAAGAGCTAATGATCCAAAGAAAAAAGAAAAACAAACTTGAGAAGTTGGGACATTATGGCCCTGATCTTATATGTCTGTTGATTTGATAGATGGAGCTAATAATTTATGATAAGTATGAGATAAATCATAGGTTAAAGAACCAAATTGTTGGTCCAAATTAAATAAAAAATTAAGGAATGGAACATTTTGACTGCAATTTTGTTGCAACAGGGTTTTTATCTTCCTTGGGCAATGCTAGGTCTGGATTTAATTTTTGGGAATTCATTAAAGCCAGGAATCACAGGGATGGTTGCAGGACATTTATATTACTTCTTAACAGTTCTTTATCCTCTTTCTGGTGGCAAGTTCACCTTTAAGACTCCTCTATGGGTGTATCCTTTTTCTTTATATCTTTATGCTCATAATTCTTCTCATGCCAGGTTCAGTTTAATTTCTAAGTTTCATCATCATGCTTGAAATGTAGGTCTAGACTTTTAAAACCCTTTAAACTATCCTCCCCCAAAAAAAACCACACACATAATATGTATATGTTGTGTGTGAATTGTCTAAGGGTTTGTTTGGTTGGAGGAGAAATGGAGGAGATGACAGATTATAATGAGTTTGATTTAGGAGAAGTGGGGTTAAAAGATTTTAGTCAATCTTTCTTATTCTTTTAATTTACATATTCATTTTATTAAAATTTTATGACCTCATTTATTCATTTTTTAAGTTGAAATCATTAGAATTTTCTCTTCCATCTGCTCCAACCAAACAGGGAATAAGGGATTTCCTTTGAACACTTATTCTTTTTGACTTTTTCTAAGTGCTTAGCGTTGACACTCAAGAAGCAAGTGACCCAAAGTTGAATATTGCAATGCCACTCTAAGTTACTTCCATTTTTTAATGGGAGAATCAAGCCCAACTTTTGTAATAAAAAAACACTTAACCTTAGAGAGAATAAATGTAACTAACAAACTATTAAATATTTGAAGGTAGAGATATTCTAAATTTGTCACTTTAGTGGGAAAAAAAAAGGAAATTATTTATCTCTTTAATGAAGTACGAGTAGTTTGATTGCTATCAATTCCTTTTTTTTTTTAATGGAAATCCTTAACAACATGTGAAATTAAACAGTCATAAAATAGTGGCATATTGGGGAGAGGGCACTCAAGTAAATTCACCTGTGCATTCAAATCCAACAACGGATGGAATTGTATTCCGTGGAAGAAGTTTCCGTTTGGGAGGCACCCAAACAAGAATGACAAGTAATCCACAAGGTCAACAAAATGAAAGCAATGTTTCTCCACAACAACAAAATCAAGGCAATGGAATTGCTTTCCGAGGAAGAAGTTATCGCTTAAACGGATGATGTCTATGGTATATGATCTTAATTAAAATTATAGTTTTTTTAATTGTTGGATTAACATACTTAATCAATTGGTATATGTATGTTGAATATTTCTCTTTTGGACAAGTTAATTATTATTGAAACCCACCTACATGCTATCATCATGTTTTTATTTCTTTTATATGATGATTGTCCTCTTGATCCTCATCCTCCTCCTCCTCCTCATTAATTTTTCTTAATAATAACATTAAAGTCTTAAAATAATGAATTTATAACATTATGTTTAAAGCCAATAATTTAGACGGTTTAATTTATTCAGATTAGACTTAAAGTATAATACCCTCTTAAAAAAGTCTATATAACTAAACTCAACCCTAACTTTTTTGGTTGGGTTCAGGCTAGCTATGAAGCTTGACCAAAATTATCTACTTTATATACACATAGAGCCAAAAATTTAAGTGATCGAACTTATTTAAGTCGATCTCAATTCAAGCCGGGCTTAATGTATATGTATCATGCCTTTTTAAAAAAAAAATTCATATAGTTAAGCCCAACCCTAACTTTTAGGGCTTGGCCTAAATTATCGGCTCTAGTTACATTCCTAATAATTTTTGTTAAAAAATCGGTTGTAAATATTGTTTAGATAGTCATTAATTAAGAATTATAACTACAAATAAGACATTTAAATTTTAAATATTACTCTCAACTTATAATTAAATTTTTATTTGTAACTGTTTGAATTAATATTTACAACTTAGTTTTTAAAATATTTTGTAGAGGACTTATTTATCATAAATTTTAAATTATGGGACTTCATTATCACTCTTCCGATTTCTTTCCCTTTTTGAGTGGGGTGTGTGAATGTGTGAATATTGAGCATATGCTTCTTCTTAAATAAACTCTAAATATTCATATGACGATTAACAAATTCATTTAAGTAGTATTTGGATTAATATATTGGATTTAGATTTTAAATTTAAAATCTTATATTTAAAATGTGATAACCTTCCTCTTCGAGAAATCCCTTCACACTATTTTTAACTCTTAAGGATGGTTTTGTGGGAGTTTTATATAAGGATAATTTTATTGTAAGTCTCTTGAAATTTTGAATAGAATTCTCGTCATATAAAAACTCCCACAAAGTAAAAATCTTTCAAAAAATAATATTGTATTCTCCTAGCATCAATTATTGGCAGGAAATATTATTTAAAAGAAACAATTAAATAGTTGAACTTATAGAGTATGTGAATCCGTAAAAACGTATGTGCGCGCGAAAAACGAGGGCCCTTTTGGTTGTTCTGGTTGGCCAACTACAATTCAAAAGTAATCTCTCCACCACCTTTCTGCACATAAAAGGAACAACTACATTTATGTCTCGTATAAAAAAATTTATTATCAACAAATTTGATAAAATTTATAAAATATTTTCAAATATCAAATTTTATATATTTACAATTTGATTAAGGATATTAATAAATGAGCAACTATTATTTACAATTTATTATTGTAAGTTATTATTTTCCTTCAAAAGTTGTAAATAATTATTGTCCAGTTGTTAATACCCTTAATCAAGTTGTAAATACATAAAATTTAAAACTCAAAAGTATCTATTGAATTGCATAAGACCAATCAGAAATAAATTATCTTTTATGGGACATAGATATAATTTTTCCTGCATAAAATCCTTCATTCACAAATAAGATTTTCTAAATACACAATACCTGAATTTGAATTTGTATTTGATTAAAACCCTTCGACAAACCCGACAACAACAATCCCAATAATATTTTTAAGAAAATAGATGATAATTTTGTAATATATAGAAAATGTATACTCTTAAAAATACATCTTTAATCAAAACATAATCTACAAAAAAAAAATTTTTAACAAAGATAAAATTTTAGCGTGAAATTATATTTTTATCATTGAAATATTTTTCAACGATTACCCAGCGCTCTAAACTATTGCTTAAAGTAATTTTGCTCCTAAAATAATTAAAACAAATCATTGTTTCCCCTTTCTGTTAAAATTTCTAACTGTTAATGTTAGGCCAATTAATATTTCTAATAGTCGATGTTAAGAATTTAATGACAAGAACAAAAATTCTCTGTTTTAATTATTTTAAAAAAAATTACTTCAGTAAATAGTTTAAGGTGCTAAACACCTCTCAAAGAATATTTCAGGAACAACAATATACATTTATTTTAAATTTATTTATCTCCAATTCACTCTTTATTGTTAGAAACTAAAATTCTTACGCCAATCTTCCAAACACACATTCTCACGCATCCCCCAGTAATATTTTCATTGAGTAACACCTTTTCATCCGTTAACTGTAATAATCTATTATTAATCAATACATTCATATGCACAAGGTGTATAGTCCTTATTAATGCTCAAGGCTCAAACACATCAATATCTTATATCTTGATTCTAACCAGCCTCTAACTATTAGTATTCCTCCACAAAATTTTAATACCCCATATAAAAGAATTCATTTCCTCAATATAGTCAAGGGTTTAAAAGGATAAAAATATCCTAAATTTTTGTGAGGGGCACCTACTATTTTAAATCTTTTCTAGAGTAATCTTGTTTTAAAACTTTCAAAAGAATGCAATAGCGCCTTGATATTAATATTATACCATTAGTTTGACTTTTATTACATCATAGCATCCACTTTGACTCATTTTAAAAAAAATTAAAAAAAATATTTAGACATGGCTATTCCTGGCTTCTTTCATCCTCATCAGCCTCCAATTCCCAACCATCACACCAAAGCACCAAACCCTCCTGCATTCTATAATGAAACTAATTTCAGTGCTCATTATATAGATGCACATTGAGAGTTCATTGCCTCTATATCATTTAGACCTAATTTTTTTATCTAGATTTACAATTTTTCAATGAGTATTTTTTAAATAAAAATTATTATTTAAAAACTAATAATTAAGAGATTGTATTTATTTTAAATTCTATATTTTTTAAAAAAATTTTTTAAAAAAATGAAAGTAAAAAGTTGTAAATATGGACAATCTAGATTAGATATGAACAATGTAAAAATGATGAACTCTAAGTGTTTATTTATATAATAAATACGGAAATTAATGATATTCGGTAACAAGTATTGAGCTCAATCAGACCCTGCAACTCCATCATGAACTGCGACATCATTATCGGGTTGATCATGAGTCACATGATTTTTTTGGCCACGGATGATTTTTAAAAATTAACATAATCTGTGTAGTAATTATGCCGATGATTTTTTTTTATTAAAACAAAACAAAACAAAGAATAGCATGGTAACGGTTATCTAGGATTAAGAAAGTGTTAGGGTAATCACATCTGGTTTCCGTGCTTCTCATGTTGATAAGAAATTTGAACCGTTCAGATTTTCAATATAGTCGGTCCAGATTTATAGCTTTAATTTTTATATTCTATTTTATATATATTAAAATAAAAATTATAAATTTTAATAAATATATTTTATCATCAATTTAAACAATGCAAATTTAATTTGAATGCTCCAATTCAATATTAAATATTTTTAAAATTTTTATAAATTAACTGTTGAGATATATTGTGAACAGTTTAGATTTAAAATTTTTAAATTACAACTTTTTCTTAATTTTTTAAAGTTCTAGTTTGAAGATTATCTTTATTTTAAATTTTTAATATTATATTTACAAAAATAAAAATTTATAAAAATTCTAAAAAAGTTTAATATTAAATTCAGATTCTTTAGAATACATCTGGATAGTCAATTTATTAAAAATATAAAAAATTTTAATATTAAATTGGACTATTCGATTAAATATGTATTGTCCAAATTAATAATAAAATAAATTTATTAATTTTTATATTTTTTTATAAAAAAATAAAAAAAATAAAACTTTAAAATCTGGAAATAAATATATTTCTACTTAGGTCTTTGAGCTTGTCGAAAGTTTTCAGATCATATTCCACTCTAAATATAAATTTATGTGTTTTGGGAGGTCGAAGTGGGACTCTCCCTTCACAGCATACATTGTGATGGTGATCAGGAAGTAAAGGAATCAAGTACAGTTGAGTTGGGGGAAAAAAAAAATACACGTGCGGGGATGATTGAAAGGCAAAAGGAGTAAGTTGGAGTTAGCTGATTTTTTTTTTTTTATTTTCACTTGCTGTCTGGTCTTTTTTTCTGCTATCGTATTCGTTCGTTCGTTTGTTTGTTTGTTTTTTTTTTCTGCCTTTGTTGCTTTTTCCCTTTTTCATAGTTTATCCCCACTTATAAAAAAATTACATTTAAATTTTACATAAAAAAATTTATTATCAAGAAGTCTTATAAAATTTAAAAAATATTCTTAAGTCTCAAATCTTGCATATGTACAACTTAATTAAGAGTATTAACAATTAAATAACGACCATTTATAATTTGTTAAGAAAAATAATAACTTGTAATAACAAGTTATAAATGTTCATCGCACAGTTCTCAATATTCTTAGTTAAGTGATAAATATACAGAATTTGAAATTTAAAAGTTTTTTTATAAATTTTAAGATTTTTTGATAATAAATTTTTTTATATGAAACTTGAATTTACTGTTGTTTTTTTGTTTTGCACACCCATCCTTTACATTACTGTGATTGGGCTTAGGTTCTGTTTTGTTTTTCTAGCATTCTGTTTCTTGTACCTGGCTATTTTGTAGTGTTTTGTTTGTATCTTGGCTTCCTTTCTAATGAAAGTGTTCCCTCGTTTTATTCAAAAAAGAAAAACATAAAGTTTATTGTCTCTCCATGGACCTTTTGTTTGATCTGATTGCTTTGAATTACGTCTTATGGCCAAAAAGGAGGTTCTGTTTCTTTTTAAAAAAAAATTTAAAAAGTGTCATGTGGCTGTGATAGTTAAAATCAAATTAACAGTTAGAGTTAATAATTTAAATGGGTTGAATTTAATCAAATCAAAATCTATTTAGGCTAGTTGGAATAAGTTTAGACTTATTAAAAAAAAATACATATATTCAGGCTCAACTTTAACCCTCTCAA